GAGGAGTGCCACAAGGTTCCATTTTGGGTCCTATCCTCTTTTATTTTTATTCGGCTAATATCACTAGTTGTCTAGAACACAGTAAGCCATTTTGTATACCGATGATACACAACTGATGTATTCTTTTGACAACTTTGTTTTTGAAAGAGCACAAGAATTTGTAAATTCTGATCTTGATTTACTAGCATCTGAATCAACTAGACACGAACTAACCATTCATCCTTCTAAATCAATCGCGCTCTTTTTTGGAAAGTACCGTTGTCAGATGGAGGAGAGAATCAATATTTCTCTAGCTGGTAACGATATTTCGTATTCGAGAACCGTAAAATATTTGGGACTAGATCTAGATACTGAATTAAATTTTAAATCGCAAGTGAACAGGTGTTTAAAAAGAGCCAATTCTAACCTTAAAATGTTATATCCTAATCGACATATTTTTCCTGAAAAAACTAAAATTCAGCTCACCGACTCACTAGTGCTTAGTCATTTTAATTACTGCGATAGTGTTTAAGGACCTTGCTTAAATACGTCAGTACGCTGAATTCAAAAAGTTCAAAATTTCTATTTGAGGTATGTTTATGGTTTTCAGAAAGTATGACAAACTATCTCACAAGTTGGCCTGTGCAAAGTTGCTCGATATGAAAAGCAGACGTAAACTCCTTGCTGTAACTCTCTTTCATAAAATAATCCTTTTTAAAATTCGCCCATACCTCTACCAACAGATTACATTCAGAAATGATGTACATAATTTAAATGTAAGACATCGTGGCTTGATTTTCCCTCCATTACATCGCACTTCCATCTTCAAGCGATCATTTTCTTTTTAAATATACGATTTGTATACCTAATAAAATTTCCCGCATCTATCAAATTATTAAACTTATCAGCCTTTAAAAAATCGTATAGGAGGTGAAATAATTATACTATAAAACCCTAAGCATTTATGTAATTATCCTTATTTAAACAAAATAAAATTTTGAAATTTGAGACCTGGTGTGTGTAGAGGGAGTGAAATATATATTTTTATTTCTTACAATTCAGACATTGTAACTTACAGGTATAAAAAACCCTTTTTTAGTTTCTTCGTTTGCTGCTGTCTTCGGATAATTTTAAAATAGAGAGGATATAATAAACTAAAACTGTTTTAATACTTTTGTTAACTCTTGGGGCTATCCGGGGTAGGCGACTGGCGAACAAAACCATAACAGAGGGCGTCCACTTTGTATCAGTTTTAATTGTCTGGACGTTCTCTTTTTGTATTTGCGTAATTATTTTTTTGTTTTTGTAATTCTTTTGTAGACCGTTAATGCAAAATAAACTAATAATATTTATTATTATTAGAAAAAACTAAACTAGTTTCCCAATGTAAATCTTGTTCGGATTATGGACATTTACAAAAATATTGTTCAAAGGAACCATTGTGCGTTAGATGTATAAGAAAACATTTAACAGTGGAGTGTGATAAACCAAAAAATGCTCCTCCAAAGTGTGTCCATTGTGGAGAAAGCCACCCGGCTAATTACCGCGGATACATTATAGCCAAAGAATTTAAAAAAATAAAAAACAAGCAAACGAAGAAGCCAAACTTGCCTTCGCAACTCCATCGAGATAACAGGCAATATATCTTCTAATTATATATAGATAAGCGAAATACCATTCACTGACTCATCACCAGATCTAAAAAACTATAAGCCCGATTGACTTGAAATTTGACATAGATACTCTTTTCTCGTGTCTTCACACCACTAAGAATGATTTGATAAACATAACAATTTAAGGGTGGGAAACGGGGGAAGAAAATTTGATGGGAGGATCGAATTTTTTAAAGGTAAATAAAAATGTTTTTTTATTTTTTAAATTTTAAATGGGAAATAAAGTTAACAAATGGAAGTACATATTTTTTTAAATGTAGGTACTTGAAAATTAAAATTATAGCTACTCATCATAAATAAATAATGACGTATTTTAGGGTTTTTGGATATTTAGAAATTTAAAAATTTGAATTGTATCTACTCATTATTAATAAATATTGACCTAATCCGAGATTTTGAATTTTTACATTTTAAGGGGGTAAATGTGGGGGGGGGGTGAACGTTTGTATGGGAGTATAGATTTTTGTATAGAAGGTATAGATTTCTTTAAAGGTATAAACCTGAAAATTGAAATTATAGTTACTTACCATAAATAAATATTGATGTATTTTGATATTTTTAAATATTTATATTTTAAGGAAGGCAAATTGAGGGTAAAAGTGTGTAGGGGGTATCGATATTTTTAAAGGTAGGAACCTAAAAATTTGAATTGTAGCTACTTATTATAAATAATGACGTAATACGAGGTTTTTGGATTTTTACATTTTAAGGGAAGAATGGGGAGGGGGGGTGAATGTTGTAACGCGATATCTAGTTATTCTATCTACTTGTGATATGTGTTTTAAGCCTAATTTGGAGGGCGTAGGTAAGGTTTTTAAATAACTCGAATAACTTTGAAACAGAAGTTGGCACCACTATATTTAAAGCTTACTACACTTGACACTTAGTGATAAAAATATAGAAAATCACTAACTACTAACAAATAATACTTACACCATGCTTTAGATAAGGTAGTTAGCAAATTCTAATTCACATACGTTGTATTAAATTCAAATTATTGAGTAGGCACTTATCTTTTGGTAAGTTAGTAATGTAAATCTAGGTTATTTCATGGTATTTCATTAGTCAACTTCCACAAAGGGATTCGGGATCCTTATTCGTAATTCTGCAACGTGAATGTTCTTTAAGATATATAGTATTTAAGCTCAACAGAAAGATAGATATATTTTTTTTACATACAGACTTATAAGATACTAAGCTAAGAATAGTTTTATTAGAAATGGTTTATTTTATACAGAGTTTCTTAAAAAATGTCTTTAAAATGGCTTATTTTAAGTTTAATTTACTAAATTTTTTCAAATGCAACATCCTGTACATTATTCTATCATAAAATTTCTTATAAATTTACCTATTTAACGTTACCAAGATGTTAGCCAATAACATATATACAGGGTATCCCATCAGTGCGTAATCGATCGATAGCTGTTTTATTATTGAAAATAAGAAAAAATATTATAGAAGTTTATGAACATGATTAATAAATATTCCTAAATATACGAAGAGCTGACAAAACTTATATATTTTAAAAGCAACACTCCATGCAGGTAGTTATATATATTTTATTGTTTTCACATCGTTAAACAATTTCAATAGACTTCATTTATTTGCTACGTTTTATACAAGGTGTGTCAAAATGCAGGGTAACAATTATCTCAAGTTTTTAAATGAAACACCCTTTATGTTATACCACTAATTAATTAATACGTGGTTTTGACACACTTTATATACAACATAGCAAATGAATGAAGTCAATTAAAATTGTTTGACGACGTAAAATCAATCAAATACGTATAACTACCTACAGGGTGTTTTGCTTTAAAAAAGTATACATTTGGTCAGCACCTTGTTTATGAACCACCCTCTATATTAAAGATTATTAGTTAAATATGGTCATACAACTTTTATATTAATAATTTATTCGTATTTCTAATAATAAAACAGCTATCGATCAATTACTCTTTGATGGGACATCCTGTATATATGTTATTAGCTAACATATTGGTATAATTGTATAGGCAAATTTATAAGAAATTTTATGCTTAGATAATACACAGTCTTACCCATATTCAAGACGTTTCAAAACACTGTATAAAATAAACCAGTTCTATCACCACCATTCGTTAGTTTAGAATCTTATAAGTCTGTACATTAAACAATTTTAAAATAAATGGTGACCTACCTAAATTGGACGATATTAGGTAACAATGAGCTAATTAAATATTTTTATTTTAATGAGACAATGTAGCATTTAATATTAAACAGCTGTAAAAAAAACAATTGGCAAGAAATACCTTTTATTTTTATTTTTATTCTTATAGAAACAAACACAAAAACTAAATTTATAAACCAATAAAAATAAAAGTAGTTTTTGACAGAAAAAAACAATGTCAAAGAGGGTTAGACGGTTTATAAAAAACCTAATATAAAAAGTTGTTAGTTTTGCAATAGGCAATAAAAATAAAATACTAAACTAAAAAATAGGATTGCACCTCTGCTGCAATATACAACGTTTACATATTATATATTTTTTTTATTTAAGTCTCTTGCAAATTACTTATTTTAAAATCTACATCGGCACCAAGGCCTTCAATGTCTTCACTAAAATCTTGCCCTTCCACAGTTTTTAAAAAATTAAAAAAAGGTTTTGCATCTTGTGGAACCAGCTTAAAAATTTCTTTCAGATCCTTAATTTTTTCCACAGACAACGCTTTGCCTAGTTTGCCACAGAGGAGGAAGATCTACCTCTTTTAAAACTGGTTTTCGTCTTTTTTCTCCTTTTTCAATATTAACTTCTGTATACTGAGTCTGATGTACAGGTTTTCATAAATACCAGAGTAGGATTTTCTTTTTTTTAAGGTGATTTCGTGCAACTTAAGCCAATTTATTTGTTCCTTATTAATATCAGTCTTGCGATTCGTAATAGCTTTTTCGAGGTTTACTACTGATACCATGTCCTGTGGTTTTATACGATTGACAATAAACTTATTTTTGCTACGACAAGTCTTCGTAACATCTGTGTAGTCGTCGAGAGTGTACAGCCTTTAATGAGTTTTTAGAGAACATTCTACATCTCCAAAATGTGAGTCGTTGGGTAAGAAACTATGACCCGAAAGCAAAAACTTCAATGAAATTATTTCAAGCGATGTTTGATTTTGTAAAACGTGGATAAGCATCAAAACCAATTTGATACTGCGGTTTTGCCCACCACAAGAATCCGAACACATATTCAATTTTTTAACAGGTACTTCAACATTTTCATTAATAAATTTACGCAAACAAGAACCGACCTCCTCGGTACCTCTGCCTGCTTCATGTTTCAACCAGATATTAAAAATACCGTCTTTGGAGTTAATCTTTGGAGTTAAAAATGCCCAAGTTGTATAAGTTCAAATGTCGCTTATAATAAACGATCCCAGTTGGTAGTTTAGGAATAGAATGAGTTTTCTGTAAATCGAACGTTAAAGTTTCCACTGTTTCATCTTCCTGTGACACAGTAATATCAGAATTCATTAGAGCCCGTAGTTCTTCTGCAATCTGTAAATGTTTTAAGTGTGTTGCTTCTAATTTCTGTTTTTTTAAATTATCAGCAGAACTTAATTCAGAAGTATAGATATCACATATTCGACAAGTGTCCTTGTAGAGTACTTTAAACTTCAGGTTAAGCTGGGAATAAAAAATATGTTCATATTTGGAAAAGTTTACTGGTTTATCAGTTTTTTCTTGGTACAGAGAATAATTTTACGTAAGTTTTAATCTGGATTAAAAAATTTTGAATCTGTCTGAGAACGGCAATAATGGGAAATGTAAGTGGGAAATGACGAAATATGCTTTATAATATTTTCTATTCGTTCTTGAGTTATAGCATTTTGTCCTCCGCTGTTGCATCCCTTTCTGTCCTGTAGCAAGTTAGTTTTTATTTTTTGTTAGAGCTACCTGAACTCGATTGCTGTTAATTTTCAGAGTATTTAAAAATGCTTCTTTGCAAATGCAATATTCTGCTATATTGTAAATTTTAGACTTGGGTATTTTCGACACCAAATTCTTTTTGTAAGTTCTCTTTCTCTCGATTTCTTTAACGCATTTGGTTATTTAAACATATCGTCCTTGAAGCTTCCAACTCCCCAAAATTGATCAAATAACCTTTTCCTTGTTTCTCAGGGAACAATATCCGTGCATTTTTTTGAACACTTACAGGAATATGCGGAATTAAACTTTTTTGTTTTAACTTCTTTAGCTCTTGCGGAAATATATTTTTTGTTAGTATTCGTATATTTTTTACTATCTGTTTTGGACTGATATGAAATCTTCCTCTTTCTTCCACGACTTTTTCGCCCTTTTCTTTCTTCAATTCTGTAAATGTTTCTCTAGATTCTCTGGCATCTAAATCACTTATGTCCCCTGAACTGTCTTCTGAATCCGGAATAAATTCACTCCCAAAGATTGGAATGGCTCTTCAAATTCCACTTGATGGCTAAACAACGCTCTAAATTTTCTGTTGTTACTTCTGGAGTACTAAGCTCTTGTAAAAAATTATTGTCACTGGAACACTGTATTATCTCGTTAGGATTAAGATACTCAGCAGTCTCATCATTTTGAATGACTGGTTCCGAGTTAAAATTGATATTTTCAGGAGAGTTGGTTGATAGTTCAGCAATTGCAGCAATCTCGCATTTTGGCAAGGTATCAGGTTTTACCTTGTTTTATGCGAACACCATTTCTAATATTTTTTTCCTCTTAGAACGTTCATCCTGAAGACAAAAAAATATTATTCCATCGACTTGATTTTTTTTGGAAAATCAGAAATGAGCCGCTCACTATTTTGTAACAATAACACATAATACGTGATAATACTAGTCTTATAATCATTAGTCGTGCTAATTACACTAATTTACGACTTAAAATAAACCTCTTCCTTAAACAAATAAAAAGCACATTGTTTTAGGCCTATATATTTTACATCTTTATGAAGAACACGTTATTTTAAACACTTGTTGTATCTATATGTTTTAGCTTACCTTTACTACGTTGAACACAATCAATAATACAATTCGAACTGTTTAAACAAATAATTTTATGGCTTAGTAAATTGACTCACAGAGGACGCTAGAAACCAAATATCGGTTAAACCATTTTTGCTTATTATCGTTTGACTCATATTACAAGTTTTTCGATAATAAAATGTTGTTTGAAAAAGTATGGGTTAGACGGTTGTTGCATAACACCGCCCAATTATGATAATTGAATTTGGTGTCTGCATCATTATCAAATTTAAGAAAAAAAATAATTGCTAGGAAAAACTGTAATATTTTTTAAAAACATATCTAGTATTGAATACAGTATTACCAAACGCTTCTTAAAATAAAATACAACGTGTTCTATTTAAAAAACATATTTACATTTTTATTTGCCAGGCAAAAATGTAATACCCTGGATATCCAAAAATATTTATAAAATATAAATTTTTCAACTCCATTTGACTTTTATTTGAAACTTGTTTGCGTGCCTATAATACAAATTGAAATATTGAACAATTGCGCACTGATGGGGCGCCCTGTATATTATCTGATAAGTATTATTTCTTAAGTTTCCGCAACATTTTTTTATTGAACATTATTAGTCGATGTAATAATCCAACATATTTGTGCGAAATCTATTGTTATGCGAAAAGATTCAGTATAATATACAATAAACAGACGAAGAGCTTACACTCTCTTATTGAAAACTTCTGAATTTACGACCAGAGTAAACTTCCTGTAGGCTTATCGTAACGTTCATGTCTTCAATCAATCTTTGTACAACACAGTTGCAATATTGTTAGTCGACGGGGCCTCCAGACAGCAACAAATTATGAGCCAGGTTATAAAGTTAGGTCAATATTTTTGAGAATATTGTTTTAAGCGAGAAAAGGGGACCTTTTATTTCTCATTTGTTGCCGTGAAAGAGATCGATTGATAATAGGCCGTCAGTCGGTTAATTTTTAACTTGTGATTAGCTCAATGGTTTATGAAATTGATGTTGTTCTTATTGCAATCAGAAAATGCAATATTATATTATATAACAAGCGTGGTTAATAGAAAAACACAAACGAGTAGAAAATATTGCTATTGATAACTAACAGCGTAGCGGTGAGTGTATAATTAAATACAGTGCAATTTTGGGGGGATTTTTGACATTGGAAATGTTTATGTTCATATACAGGACCAACTTAGGAATTTTTGTTCAAAGCAAAAAACGTTGGTGTCATTCAAGTGGCCCAATACTTATAGTGCTCAGTTAGACTGACGCTGACGCTGGAATTAATATGCGAGGTGGAGAGCTGATTTCACTGAAAGTGTTGAAATAAATTACTCAGCAAATCCAGTCGGTTTGACGATGAGCTCACTTATTTTGTTTGACTGCTCTACGGTAAAAGAAAGTATCTGCGTCAGATAAAATTTTACAGGAGAGCTAAAAATTGTTTAAAGCGTTGTATGAAATATATTTTTATAATTTTTGCTAATGATGTAATTGATGACTTATACAGCTTATGAGGATTTAAAACTGCTTTCATATTGTATAAATTTCTTGTGGAAATTTGTGTTAATGTAGTTACTCTTTTAGAGCATTTTTAAAATATATCATTGTTCTAAGGAAAAACAAAATATAGTGTTATACTTTGCTTTTCATTAGAATTTGTATGATAACTGTCCCATATGTGTTAGAAAAAAAGAGAGTACAGTCAATGTCAAAATATCAATTTCAACAAAATTGTTGGTTCCCTTTTTTTACTGTAGAGCCTCATTAATATCAACTTCAAAAAGTTTACGAGAATAAGACAAATATTTTAGAAGTTAAAACTAATCGCTTCCTAATAACAGTAACATGACAATACATCAGATATTGGAATGATTGATTTACAGATTGCAAATGAGTACAGAGTAAATGGATTACTAGACACCATGAAATAACTATTTATTTAATTGTTTTAACTTATTTACTAAATTCTCATTCAATGTCTTTCGCCATCCTTGTATAAGATTAGCTTAGATTTGAAAGGACTTCGTCATTATTTGTCACACTAATGCGTAGTCTGTTCTTGCTCAGGCAGATACAGACTTCCAAACTTTTCTGGTTATATTCACTCAAAAGTATCTTAGCCTGTCTTAGTCCCAAGAGATTGTTCCATTTATCGGTTCTTCTACTGCCCAATTCTTTTTTAATCTCTCCCAATATTATTTTACTACTGATACCGCAGAACGGTTTAGGTCCCACAAAGGGCATTTGACTTGCTGCAATTCTGTCCCAGGACCCAAGTGAGAGTTACTGTATTTTCCTTGCCTAGTTCATTCAGTTTTTCTAGGCATCCCCAAACCATTTTTAAGCTGATTACGTAAGTGCCTAGCGCGTTGGTGGCTGCTTGGCTATCGGACGTGTTGATAATCTCTTGTCTTCGATAGTTTCGCTTAATGTTAAACTGGATTCACTTCTCAATGGCGGGAAGATGCTTGGGTCGCTATATGTCTTTCGGTTTTAAGTATGATGGATTCGTAACTCCATTTTTTCTTGCAGCCCAGCTCTGTGGTTTTGAAATTTTTCACAAAACTGTATCTTCGGTCTTGAAGATTGTAGACTTTCTATATCTATATCGTGTACTTTTTGCCACATTCTCATTAAATGTAGAGGGGCGAGGTTCAATATCACCTCCATTGCGGCTGTGGGACAGGTTTTCATTGCATCGGTGATGGCTAGTCTTTGCCTTTTTTAAATAATAGCTCTGGTAGTAGCTAAACTAGTTATGTTATACTCCAGGCTATAGGATGATTGGTCTCACTATTGCAGTATCGCGGTGTGTTCGGGTTACATCCCCATCGTTTACCTGCAATGTTTCTGCATGCCATTAGGGATTTTGTGGCCTTATTTACTACTTTCGTTTCATGTTAGTTCCAGAGAAGTTTGTTGTGTAGGGTCAGGCCTAGAAAATTCACTTCATATTTCCATTCTATATTTATTCCATCTAATTTGACGGTTTCGAGATTGTTTTTATACTGGTACATGACGTGCATTTTTCTTCTTCATATAACCTGTTCAATATGTGACGCTTCTGCTGCATAAATAATTCTTAGATTACTGTTATCCTAATTGTTTGCCGTTTTTGATACAGTAGGCCTTGAGTGAACTTGGCTTACGGTTCCTCAATTCACTCTTTAACCTGTTATTATTTTAGATATTTGTTCCATAATTCCTGAGACTCTTTTTGCATCTGTTGTTTGAAGAATTTCTAACACAATGCCTTAGGAACTCTACAAAAGAGTTCAGGGCCTGTTATGGCTGTATCTAAGCTCTATTGGGCTAGTTTGTCGGCCTTTTCGTTTGTTTTGACTACTTTGATATGTCAGGTCTTCTAGAAAGACTTTTAGCTCTACTTTTTTGATTTATGGTGAGATGATTGCCTTTAAAGCTGCTTGACCATCATACTTACTGATTTATTATTTCTTTTGCCCAGTATTGTATGGATGTTAGTTTGATCTGTAACACTATTGCGTATTCTGCTAGGCTCAGCTAAATCGTTGTTTCTGACTTGAGTTTAAAGATTACAGCCCGGACCCTTCCTTGGTTTTTGAACCGCATGTAAACCAGATGAGGTTCATTTTTACGGGCTAGTATTTAAATTAAAAAATGTCTTT